GGGTGCCGAGGGGAGCCGGTGGGGGAGAGCCCCGCAGGCGCGACACCAGCAGCATGTAGTCGCAGTCTGCCGAGGGACGGTACGCGATGCTCGGGATGGAGGGCGCCTGCAAACGTGCACACAACAATCAATATGTAATGGCCAGCTGGACAAAGTATCCAGTCTATATGCAACTAGGCGGATGAAGTATTACTTACGGATTCGATAATAGTAGAAGCCAAGCTCGGATGAAGGTATTCCTCACTTGGCTCGGGATGTTTCTCTAAAAATAAATATGTTATTTAATACTAATATTATTGTATAATGTTGGTGAGACAACAGTGACGTACAGTAGACAGTAGATGTGCGCTCACCTTCAGCCGGTGGCGGAGACTTCTCGGGCCACTTGCCGGACTTGACGAGCGCGACGAGTGCGGCGTAGTACGCGTGGAGGACGCACTCCTTGCTGAGGAACTGGAACTGCGGGTTGTCCCCCTGCTTGGCCTTTATAAGGATCTCCATCTGGGCACCCTGGCTCGCTATGAACTTTGCCGTCTTCTCTATTATCGCATTCTGTTTCTCCGTCTCGGGCTGCCAAATTATTAGTTTAGCTTTTTGTAGCTTTTTGTGTCACTATTTGTAAATAAGTTTTAAATAAAGATTTCTAACATAAAAGTGTAAACATACAAATATAATGTGTGAAGGCAAGAGAGCCTTGAATGTGTCGCTGGGCAAGAAGGGCTCGTCCACGTCCTGCTGCGGGAGCTCCGGCGTCTGCGGGGGCGGTGCGCCCGTCTCATAATTGAAGCCCACCTGGCCGTAGCCCGCCGCGTGCAGTCTCTTCAGCTCCTCCTCTGCAATGTTAATACACAACTATCAATTGTAATATCATCATTTTACACATTTACTCTAAAATAACAGAAATGGAGAGAACATTTTCTTTGTTGTCTGTATCTAATTGTTATATATATATATATATATAACTCAATTTATAGAAAGTGTCACAGTATCATAAGAAATTAAAGGAATTCTATATATTTTTGAATGTTGTTTTGAGTACCCTCAACAATGCAATGTGTTGTCACCTTTGTACATTTCCTCTTCATCCTCGTCGGTGTGCAGGGCGCGGTATCGCTCCTCATCGCAGAGCAGCTCGGCGTGGCGCTCGGCACGCGTCAGCTCCACGCGCCAGTCGTAGCCCCCGGGCGGCGCCTCCAGAGACGCCAGCTCGTGCAGGGCGCCGCGCGCGTCATATCTGGAGAGATCACATATGTCTCACTACATAGAATGCTTCATTGGGAATATTCGCAAGTTGAAATCAGTTCTGCCCTATTTCACATCCTGGATCATAAGTAAATGAGAAAATAAAACTATTAGTGCACAAATAACTGGTAAGATCTATCATATTAATATGAAAATAATCTTTTCATATTAACCCTCAACTGCTACAACAAGACTCCTATTTCCTCAATGAAAACTCAGAATCAATTTGGATATAATAATAATTATGAATTTAATTAATGACTAATGAATACAGCTAATGCCACATCACATTATCTTCAATATTTTTGTCCTGCCTAAAATAAAAAAAAATGTTTTTAAATACAATATTATATTTAAGAGTTTCTAAGTGGAATCTGGAATCTTGATACTAGACAAAATTTTGAAGCACCAGTAGATCAAATTGTAAACAGTTTTATTTCTTCATAAATATATGAACATGTGTGTTGCTTGTTCATGGTGTAAATTGTTAACTGGAGTAAGAATAAGAAGTGAAGATGTGTAAATAATTAATACGCAGCACACATGTTCTAAAAACAGTGTTGAAATAGGCACAAAACGTAGTAGTTCACAGTCAAATACATATTCGCAAGTGTACCGTTTTGTTTAATACATACCACCGGCGTCCGTCACCATAACATTATGCCGCGCAGCAGCAGCAAAGCACTGCAGCTGCCCTCCGAGCGGCGAACACATCATCGAAGATCCTCTGCGAAAATCTTAGGGTCTTCCAAAAATTTAATAGTTTCTTATGATTGAAAATCGCTTTTTTTTACTCTTTGGTGGCACATTAACAGTCTTATAGTAAAAAACGTATCGAACCTGTCGATTTTCAATGATTCGTCCCCCATCCACGGTATGAGGTGCTTGCCTTGGTCAATGTGCAGGGCTTTCTCATCGTCCCTGAACAGTTTGCACGAGTAGCCGAACACGAATAACTCTTCTTTCTTCTCTTTTAACTCACTCTTTCGTAATATGCCTGACTCACTGTGAATACCAGTCCATTTTACTGACATTTTTTAGGAATATTTGTACAATCTACACCTTATCCTATAATTTATCTAATATTTTTTGGTTTTTCAAAAAGACACAGACACCTATAGATTTTAGAGAAATCGGAGCAGACTCGCAGACTCGAGAAAAACCAAAGAGTATATAAAGACGACAGACTTGCGACTGTATTGCCATGCGTGAAATAACTTTCAATATGTTATATAAAAGAAAACATTTAAGAATATGTGCCGTGTCATGTTTTTCTTTCGTGTTAAGGAAGAGAATAATACAATAAATTCAATACTGTATGGTGATAAATAATTTCAAAAACTACGACAAGCAGCAGCTGCATCGGAATATTTTTATAAATGTGACAGTCACAAAGGAATAAAACGCCGTTTACATCAAAAAAAGTAAACAATGGCAACTGGATATAACCCTACCGGATTAAAAATACGTCATCGTTCTTTGAGCTTTTCCAAACATTGGTCTTATATAATTTAGCTTGATAACATAGGTCTCAAAAGGCATATGGCGGACGTTTTATATATTTTTGCATCGAAAACTGATAAATTGTTTTAGTTATGAGTATCTTGTGACCATTATAGCGTATTTACTAAATTTAGCTGATAAACGTTAGTTTTAAATGTGTAAATAAGTTTATTTTATGTAGAGTTGTAAATATTGATAGTATTTTCGTGCGTGGACGTTTTGATCCGTATTGTTTAATGAAAAACGAAAAGTCTGTGATATAAACAATACATAGGTGATAGAATAATTTACTGAGTTTTTGTAAATATTGTTTAGGTATTTTAGAATTTTAGAATAATTAATATATTGAAAGAAGACTGAGAAATTGTGTGGGAGATTTACAAGCTATGTCAGCTGCGAGTTTATTGTCTTCGTTGAAAGAGAAACCAACCGACGAAGGCCCAAAGAATGGCTCTAATCAATCAGGTGAGTACGTTAAACACTTTCAAAATGTTTAACATCGTGTCTGCTTGACTTTTGCTTACTTATTTTATTTATTTGTCATTGTATATAGGCTGGCAATGATGTTGCTATAACTTTCCTATTGGTGGCCAATAGGTATTTTACACGACATAAATAATGTCTTTATACATAGTTAGTGCTACTTGGTGTTTGTGTACAGAACTACTGTTTCCCTACTGTTACAATAACAATAGCTCAATAGTTGACTGATATTGTAGTTAATCAAAAACAAGTATTGCTACTGAATATGTTCTGCAGTTTCCAATGTAAGCAATTCTTCAGGAAACAAAATTGTCTATAGCAAATGTTTCCAAGCATTCTAACCTAGCTAAATATGTAAGAATTCCAAATATTACTATAACAATAATAAAGTACCAAGTATTTTAGGATTGAGCTTGATGTTAAGGTATTATGAGTAACATGATGAGAAATATTAACTGTTAAAGTTGGACACCCTTCAAGGTGTTGCTTAAATTTTTTTAAACACAAAACTGCCATAGACAGCTGCTCAATAATTCCTTCATGAGTTTTGCTTGCAAGGGGCACTACAGATTGGATTTTTTGATATCTAGCTTAATGTTTGTAAAGTCTAAAAGTCCATGGTATCTCAAAAGACTTCACAAGCACTAAATAAAGCTGTAATGCTATAGCTAAAGGACATTCCTTTGGTATTTGAAAAATACAACATTCCCGATTTAGATGTTTTCTATGTCTCATTTGGTGGCTAAACTAATATCTTGGTTATGCATAGTTATGCTAAATAACAATTATAAAAAAGGATTGCAATGTCACTGTGATGTGTGGAAAGTTCACGGCTTATTTGAGTGAATATATAAAGTGGCATTTATAAAAATAATTAACTCACAAATGAAACTGATACTGACCCATTGGAATGTTATTAGCTGGGTCAACCATCATAAGAGTACTGTACCATGTTTTTATAGAAAATATTTATAAATGTAACACTAAAGATTTACTAATTTAATTATTATATGTTAGTACCCTCCAATATGTAGTAGAGACATGTAAAAACTTATATGTACATAAGTGAAGAAATTCAATATCTATGTGATCAATAAATCTAGGTTTTACAAAAAAAAAAGGAAAAAAGTGCTACCTCCATATCATATACAAGTTATATTTTTAAGAAGCATTGGTATGCCAGCGTAGCATACCTTGTAAGACGTCAAGTTTCTTTGAATTAATTTTTATAATAATCTTACACTTATTTTGTGTAAAATTGACTTGCATTATGATAGTTTGTAATGTTTGAGTAAACACATTTGAAGTTGAACTTGGATAAGCAGGAAAGCATTATTAGCAAGAGTGAGTGTCCGGAGAGAGAGAGAGAGAGAGAGACAACTTTCAGAAGTGAGAAATATATCATGTTCCTTTGAACTCTCGCTTATCAAAGTTCAACTGTGTTTATTCCATTTTTAAATGTATTGAATGAATCCTCAGGCATTTGCTTAGATACAATTTTTTATTGAAGTGTCATAAGTTTTCTTCAATTCTATTGTATCACATTATAGCCATTGTGTAAATACTTCAGTTAATGATCTGAGTGAGACATTGAGGTCAAATTATATACATTTTAGTGTAGTATTTATACATTTGTTTAATGAACTTTTCTACTATTATATGAAATTTACAGGCCGGTATTCATACAGGTCATAAAGCATCATATTAAAAAATTGATAATGAAATTTAAATTTGCAATGTAGTCTACTTGCGCACATTACTTTGACCTGGCACAGTAGCTGCGTAAGGGATGCGCGGCCGCCGGGGTAGGGCGCTAGGGCGGGGGGTGGCAAGGCCAAGGTCGCCGGCGCTAATCCGCAGCCGGCTGCCCCCTTGCCGACGTACTAAGAGCGTCATCCTGACCCTCAATATATATAGACATGCATTTATCTTGTATTATTATTTGCTGAATGAACTGACAAATTATTAAAGGATGTATTCGTTTGAAACATATTGATTGCAAGATTGCTGATTATAATTATCATTGTGTTATTCTACAACTCAGCCATTGTATTACTAACTTTAATTCCAAAATAGGTCTAGACTACTATTAATGTAGCCTTTACCTAAAGCAACATTTTTTTGAATTATACAATAAGTACTTGGTTTGAGAAAATCTTGCACATTAACAATCTTGTAAATTGGAGTCGGTGTCAACATAATTACACTATTTTTTTTTAAAGTTGTAGTTTTAGTGTTATCACATGTTCATGTATTAATTTTTAGTCGCATCCTTCAGTGCGGTTGGTGCAGTTTAGCGCGTCGATGTATGAGTAGGATGCGGCATCGCGGTTTAAAAATTAACCGCAATTAGCGATATATGTATAATACTCGTCATTATGCGCATGATCAGCTTAATTCTTACGAATGTACATCCAAAGCTTTCGTTGCTAATAGCTGGTGTGACTGTAAAGTTGTGAAAATTGGCACAAGTTGTATTATCCATTAAACATTTGACTGTGGCTTGCGAGTGCTTTGAAACATGTGCCGCCGCATATCGTTGTCTCTATTTTATCGTAGAGGATGTAAGGGATGACAATGTGTACAGTTAGGGATATTATTTTTATATTGATTTTTTGTACCCAACATAAACAGTAGAATAATACTATAGCCAGACTTTAATTGTATCATAATAACAACAACTGAAGGGAAATATATTCTGTGGGTTTCACATTAAAACATTATAAAGTATCGCAGATAAATACGTTCAATTCTAAATGGTGCCATGTTCGTTCACAATACTTTGACAATATGCAGTATAGCTAAATAACGATACTCATAATTGTACGGTGACATAAACGTATATATCTAAAACTGGCTGAGGGTATGTCAGAGAAAAATTTACAAAAATAATGAAGTGTTGTAGGTAGAAATATAAATGTATTGTGAGGTGGCGCCGCGCAGTCTGCGTTCGCAGCGAGTTGTGTGCCCCGCCAGTAACCACTGACCTCTCTCGCACCGACTCTCTCGCGACCTCTGTGCGCTGCGCTGCGCTGGCGCCGCACCTTCACGCACCACCCTTATTTAATACATGATTTTTAGATTTTACTTCAATTTTATTTATTATTTGTTTTCGTTTCCGTGTTTAGTTTTTAATACATTTTAAGTACGTTTTTATTTTTTAGTAGTTTTAGCCGGTAGTCGTAAGCGTTTATATTTAGTGATACGTTGTCGCCGGCCATTTTGTTTTATCGCGTTTCGGTTTCGGGATCGTCATCATCTTGTCCCCTGTGGCACGATGGTGAGCAAGGAGGTGTGCCCCAAGGAGGCGAGCGGGCGTGCCCGTCGCCGGCGGCGGGCCGGCGGGCGGGCGCGGCGTCGCGCGCTGCGGGCGGCGGCGGGCGGCGGCGAGCGACGCCAGTGCCCCGGCAAATGCGTTATGCACGCTTTCGTGCTGCGCTACCGCAGCGCGCTGCGCAAAGTGCCGACGCAGATGCCGCCCCATGTGCGCGCCGGCCCGCCCACTAAGCGCGTCAAGCGCGTCTCCTGGCGTGAGTCCTCATTTCTCACTTCAACATACTCGTCGACTTGGCTGTCACGCGGCCAGAATCTTCGAGAACCTTGCACAACCGGAATTTTCTGGAATGTGTTATTTTAGCATTTCTTCGTTATGTAACATACAAAACTACGCGTCAAAGCCATAAATCTCCGCGTAATCAGTTATTTTCCTGTATTGTAATTTGTGCGCATTATTTAAAGTAATGCATTTACATAATATAAGTAAAAGAAAACATCTTCCGTTACAACGCCATTTTGAGCAACAAATTAAGTATTTGTTGCACAAAATGGCGGATACCATAATGATGTACTTTCGTCTCGTAAGTTGTCTCGATAACCATTTCCTTTAAGATTATGTACAGTTGAAGCATCTGCCGGTGTTTCTCCTTAAATCTACAGTCGTTTTGTGCATAGAGGACGCAGCTTTTAAATGTGTATCATCTGTATATTAAAGTAATTTAACATCAACATAATGATTTCTTAATTGTTTCATTATAAACACGAATAAGATTCACGAGGAATTTAGTTGATAACCCGGAATTAGTTAATTCACAAGTTTTGTTGTCATAGATTGAGGAGTGGGTGTGTACGTGTTTGTTGCAGGCGATGCGGGCGATGCGGGCGAAGCGGGCGAGGCGAGCGAGGACGCGGGCGGCGGCGGGCAGTGCGCCGGCGACCCCGCCGTGCTGGCGCTGGGCCCCGCACGCCGCCCGCTCGTGTACCCGCGCGACCTGCTGCTGCGCCTGCGACACTCGCCGCTCGTCAAGCGCGGCCTCGAGCACGCATTCCGGGGCTGCGACGCCGCGCTCGCACTGTCCGTACACAATTCGCATTTTACCCATTTGTTCGCAATAATGTACCACAAATTATTAAACCAGTGATCGCGAAATGTTTCCAGGGTCCTCAAGAAAGGCTCCGATTCACCCAACGACGACGACCGAGGAGCCAAGGGAGATGCTCCTAACGACAATCATAAGGTATGAGCCCGGGACGATCCCCCTTTACGTTAAAGCCACCCAGTAGACCATTTCATTCTCTAACAACGCGAAAAAAAATATTTTAGGCGGGCACATTTACTAAACGATGGCTACATCGTGCAGCAGACCGCACGGTTGTTTCATAGCATTTGTTGTGTAGGTGAGCGCGGGTGGTGGAGGTGGAGGGGGAGGGGGCGGTGTGCGCGAGCGGCGCGCCGCGGACCCGCGCGAGCGCGTGCGACGCGAGAGCGAGGGCAGCGGCATCGTGCTCTCCCCGCAGCGGCGCTCCTTCGTGTCCGGCTGCGGCGCGCCCGCACCCCCAGCACCGCCGCCGCGACCCGACTCCCCGCACCACCCGCATCCGCACCCCCACCCGCACACGCACACGCAGACCACCGGCAAGACCGCCGAACAAGGTGAGACAATACCACCCACTTCCCACTCGCTCACTTCTGCAACCAGAAGTGATCATCATCATCATCATCATCATTTGTGCCAAAAACCTATATCGAAAGAGTAACGGAGACGTTGTGGACCTTCTCTAACAGAGGCGTTATTACAGTGGGATACAAATGTGAAAAGAATCGATCGGTTTAGACTTAGTTAGGTATGGAAGCGGCCGTGCGGGCGCCACGTGGAGCTAGTGCGGCGCGTGTCGCCTGCGGTGGCCTAGAGCGAGGCGGCGGCAGGCCAGGTGGCGCCCGCCTGCAGCAAGGCGCGGCGCCGTATAGCACTGCCCACACGGTCGCTGGGCGCCCGGCGCCAGGCGCCAGGAGGTGGGCGGCGGGAGGTGGGCGGCCTCTGAGAGCGTGTCGTGTTTTGCAGCGGGGCGGCGCATCGGCTCGGGGCGCATCATGGTGCGCGAGCCGGGCGCCTGGGAGGAGCCGGACTTCCGCGACACGTACCGCCCCCCCAGGGAGCGCAACAACACCGACAGGTACTTTCGAGTTATTTAGGTATATATGATGTGCACGCGACACTAAATATATATTGTATGTATTGTTAGCAGGTTCGAGCGGCGGTCGTTCACGCGCGACTCCTTCTCGTCCGACATGAAGCGAGACCGCGACCGCGACCGTGACCGTGACCGAGATCGCGACGAGCGCTACATCAGCGACAAGCCGCGGGATAGGTACGTCCCGCAGCTCGCACCGCATTGCACCACACCGCATTGCATTGTATGAAATATGAAATTTTTGTTGTACGCGTTTAGAGAGGAGAACCGGCGGTCGGGCGGACGCTACTCGCAGCGCCGCTACGACAAGGAGGAGGAGGAGCCCGAGTGGTGAGTGAGCGGGGAGTGGCGGGGAGTGGCGGGGTGGGCCAGGGCGAGGCGAGTGAGTGACGCGCGGGCGTGTGTGTTGCAGGTTCAGCTGCGGCCCCACCTCGCAGCTGGAGACCATCGAGCTGCGCGGCTTCGACGACCCCCCGCGCCGCAACGGCACCGCCGCACCGCACGACACAGAGGTACTCGCCGCACCACCACTACTCTACACCTGTTCCTCTGGCTCGCTTCATCTTGTATTGTGTAATGTGTGCTGTTTGTGCAGAAGTGGAGCGGTGGTGACGGCGG